GGGCTAGGACACAACATTTACACAAGATTCAAACTTACTAAATCACTTTGTGCTTCTTATTTTATGAATCCACATATTCTCTTTTGCCTATATTGATATTTGAGAAAACTAATGTAACCAATTTTCAAAAGATAAGTATTTTTTATTTTAATGTTAGATATGCATAAAGAAAATCTCATAAAACATTTCCAATTTAAAGAATAATTTTCATTTAATACCTATATAATACCTCCTTGCCCAATTACAACCCAACTCAGTTTGTCTTCTCCTGGAAACCACCATTCTTCTGACTTTTGTTAATATTATTACTTGCTCTTCTTTCTTTTTTTAAATAAAAGACACATTTATTCAGCTTCATGATCAGACTATTACATTTTGCAATTGATAGCATGGGTGCAAGAAACCACCACTATATTAAAACCCTTTGTTGGACTGCCTTATGCTACAGAAATTAAAATAACCTGTTATACAACTAATTGCAAATACAGTTCTTAAGCTTTTGCCCATACACGGGAGTATTGTATAAAGCATGTCTTCTTTGTAGCAGTTAGGCCCGGCCACCACTGTGCTTCACTAAGTTCACAAATCTGTTGGAACCTATAGCTTCCCTGTCACTTCTCTGGCTCTACTCTCCTGCTAAGCTTTGTTTCCTGGCAGTAATTAAAATCTTCTGCCAGTGCCATAGTTAGTGCTACCCCTACAAACTCGTTGGATTTGTGGTTTGGCGAGCTATTGGCTTCCAATATCATAGCGGCCATGATAGGGGCCAGAGCTTTTGCCTCCAAAGTTTTTTCCCTTCATGTATCAAAAATTTGAAGACTGATAATTTTAATTGCCAAAATCATTGTAGCTTCCACCACCTCCAAAATTGCTTCCATCATTACCAAATTCATTATAGCCATCCCCACTGCTACCATATCCTCCACCACCACAGCTGCCACTAAAGTCACTATGACTGCAGAAGTTTCCTCCACAACCAAAGGTATCATTCCCACCAAAACCACCTTTATGGCTACCATGAAAGTTTCCAGAACCGCCTTGACCTCTTGGCTGGATGAAGCACTAGCTATTCCTTGCTTTGACAGGGCTTTCCTACCTTCACAGTTGTGGTCATTTACAGTATGGTATTTCTGAATGACAGTTTTATCCACAGAGTCATGGTTGTTAAAGGCTACAGAGGCAAAGTCCCTTTTCTTGCCACTGCCTTGATCACTCATGATTTCAATCACTTCAATTGTTCTATACTGTTCAAAATCTTAGGTGATGTTCTTCAGTGTCTTCTTTAATGCTACCATCAAATTATCTTTTTCACAGCTAAGTGGGCACCTGGTCTTTAAGAATCTTGAGACAGCTCTCTTTGGTTCCACTACTCTTCCATCCACCTCGTGTGACCTTGCATTCAAGGCTGCATCTACCTTCTTCACAGTGGCCTAGGTGACAACCCAAAGGCCCTGGAGCCCTTGGTGTTTGGATCTCTTACTACACAGTTCTTCAGCATTCCCCATTGCACAAAATGTCTCCTCAGCCTCTTATCGGTGGTTTCAAAGCTCAGACCTCTGATGAGGAGTTTCCACAGCTGTTAGGGCTCTTTGAAAGACTGGCTGAGGCCAGATGGCAGTAGGAAGACAGACAGTGCTTCCTTTTGTGCCGTCCACTGGCAGAAAGGTTGTTTTTCTTCATAGTTTTGTCATTTATACATGCCTAAGGTTAGGATTGTTGATTAAGGAAGCATGAATATATTAAACTTTATTAGAAAATATAATTGTTCATAGTGATTGTACCAATTTGAACTCCTACTGTAAGTGTATGAAAGTTTCCATTGTTCCACATCTTCACCAATGCTCTGTTTTCAGACCTTAAGTATTCCTGATTAATAAGAAGGAGCACCGTTTAACATAGTTATTTGTATATTATCTTTTTAGAGAGCCTGTTGATGTTTTTTGCCCAGTTTTCACATAAGCTTAATTTTCTATAATTTTATAGGATTTATTTATATATTTATACTAGATCTTTGTGGATTATGTTGCAAGTATATTCTCCCACTTTGTGGGGAATATTATCTCTATTGATAACAGATTGATCTATTGTCAGTCTGTTTCTCTATGGTATATTTTAAGAAAAAGAAGTTCTTAATATAGTCAAATTTATCAAGTTTTTTCTTTATATATATATTGCTTTGTAAATATTAAGAAATCCTTTTTCTATCCTGATGTTATAAAATATTTTGCTATATTATCTAATAAAATATTTACAATTTTGCTTTTTACAGTTTAGCACTTACATGACTTCAAATAGATTATTGCATAGTATAAGGTTAGGATCCAGTTTTGTCTTTTTCCATAAAAAATAGACATAATATTATTTTTTCCCAGCCAATAGTTATTGAAAAGATCATTCTTTAATGATCTTCAGTACTACTTCTGTCGTAAATAAAGTGACCATAAATTAATGGTATCTTTCTAGACTCTCTACTCTATCTTGTTAGTCTTTTTTCTTATCCTATTACGTCTGCTAGTAGCCCTAGAAAAATGATAAATATAAACGATGGTAGCAGATATCCTTGTGTAATGCCGAATCTCATAGGGAAAACATTTACCAGTATAATATTTGATGTCAGATTTAAAACAAATTAACATATTTTTTTGGTGTACTGTTTCTTGAATTTTAACACTCAACATATATGGATTCATGTAACAACCTCCGTAATCAGGATAGAGAATAATATCTAATATCATTACCCCTAAAATTCCTTTGCTTGCTGCCACTTTGTAGTCAACCCCCTCCCTGAACGCCCATCTCTAACCTCTAGCAACTACTACTCTGATCTGTTCTTCATCTCTCTAGTTTTGTCTTTTCCAGATGTCATATAAATGCTGTTGTACAGTGGTTGGCTTTCTAAGACTGACTTCTTTCACTCTGCATAATGCCTTTAAGATTCCTCCACATTGGCCAGGCACTTTGAGAGGCTGAAGAGGGTGGATCACCTGAGGTCAGGAGTTCAAAACTGGCCTGACCAACATGGTGAAACCCTGTCTATACTAAAAATACAAAAATTAGCCAGGTCTGGTGGCAGTCACCTGTAATCCCAGCTACTTGGGAGGCTGAGGCCGGAGAATTGCATGAACCTGGGAGGTGGAGGTTGCAGTGAGCCAAGATTGTGCCATTGCACTTCAGCCTGGCCAACATGAGTGAAACTCATCTCAAAAAAAAAAAAAAAAAAAAAAAATCCTTCATGTTGATGCATATATTCCTCTTTATTGTTGAATAGTATTTCATTATATGGACATACCATAGTTTGTTTATGCATTCACCCATTAAATTAAGCATGTTTTCTGGCTCTGAAAATTATTCTACTTCCTTGATCAAGCTATTTAATATCTCTGTTACTGTCTTCATCAGTAATAGAGGTAATAACAGTACCTACATTATAGGTTATTGTGGGGATGAAATGGGTTGATAAATACAAAGTACTTAAAATAATGCCTGATGTAAGTAGTCATTCCTATTGTTTTCAACATTAGCAAAGATTTTGAGGTAGAAAAGAACTTGACAAGTTCAAGGAATGGCAAGAAAGCCAGTGTACCTGGAGTATGATGAACAAGGGTAAGGAGTGGTATGAAATGATAGGGAGAGGGATGTAGGAACCAGGACATGGAGGTTTTTATGGGCTACAACGGAGAGCTCTGGTTTCACTCGAATTGCATGAAAAGCCAGGGATGAGATGATCTGGTTCACGCCTATGTAGATAACTCAGTCAGCTTTGATGAGAATCAATTACAGTGATGCTAAGAGTAGAAGCAGGTACCCTACCAGAAGTACACTGCTTTAGTCTAGTAGAGAAAGGATGGTAGCTTGGATTATCGTTGTGCTGGTGGGGATAGTGACAAGTAGTCATTACCAAACCATTCTAGGTATGGTTTGGATTTAGAACCCACAGAACTTTCGGATGGATTCACAGCTCAGTGGAGCACCTTCCTCACAACAGTAGTGGTCTGTAGCCATAATTATCAGCAGCAACACTCCTCTTCTGGCATGGCTTTGCCAGTGATTTCCTTCGTCCATTTTTTAATTAAAATACAAACTTTCATGCCTGATTTAGGAAATCTACTTGGAGAAATAGCCTGGCTTTCACACATATTTAAAAGAAGTCAAGCTACGTCTTTCTTACTCATACTCATGACCCCAAACACGTTTGTAAAACATTGGCCTATCTCACAAAAATGTGTGCTCATAGCATTTTGTCTTGTGGTTCTCTGCAGCCTGTATAGGTCCATGACCCCACACACTTAGCATTTCTGCTGGAAATAAAGTTATCTTGACAGCTTCATGCTTAGCCAGCGGAATGGTAGTTTTAGTGGTTGGCTGGAGTTTTTGTGTACACTTGGGACTTATTGTTGAAATAAACATTATTAGAATCATATTAAAATTGGACCAGAAATTTAGTTTTGTCCTTTCAGCTCAATTCACCCAAGAATCTCTCATCCAAATGACAGATAGTATTAACTTTCTGAGATAAAGATTAAAATCAGCCCGGGGTGCTTACTTAGCCTTGCATTCATATGGAGATTTTCTTTTTCTTTTTTTGAAACAGAGTTAAAAATAGAGTGCTCTGATCTCACCTAGAAAGTTTTCTTTTGTTTCCTGCCCTTTCTGCTCTTAACGCGTCTGTATTTGTCCTCTATGGGGACTTAACTTCCAATTCCTTAAAGATAACACCTGACCCAGTGTTAATCTGGAACATACTCATCATCCTTTTTTTTTCTTAACCCTATCCCATCTACTTAATTTGTGACTTTTCATAATTCAGGATTTACTGAAAGGAAGGAATTTACCTTTTATCCTTAACTATTTGTCATGTCTTTCAGCAACTTTTAACATCTCTTGTCAGGTTAATGACAGATTGTGGCATTTATTTTAGTTTATTTCAAAGAGGACCATTAGATACATTTTGTGCCTACTGTTGTACTTCTTTATAACTGGCTTCTTTTTTGATTTTACAGAATACCAAGCTGCTATTTTACACTTGAAGAGGGAGCACAAAGAAGAAATTGAAAACCTGCAGGTATACCTCTTTGATTCTACTGAACTGGTTCTATAGAACTGATACGTGGTTTTTTCCTACGCTGAAGTAAATATTCCCCTTGAGTTGAAGTGTTAAACTAGACAGCATCACAACTTGCAGATGCCAGTAGGCACTGTGTCTAGTATGGAGATTGAAAAGCCTTGGATTCTGTTTTTTAATATAATTCAATTTCTCCCATCCAAGTACTAACCAGGCCCGACTCTGCTTTGCTTCCGAGATTTGACGAGATCAGTCGTGTTCAGGGTGGTATGGCCGTAGACTATAATTCAATTTCTAATTTAAAAAATAGCATAAATGCATTTGATTGGATTAGAAAACGATTATTTTTAAAGCAGGAGCGAAGACAGAATAGACTTCTACTGTAAAAAATATAGTAGAAGTTATTTTTTCTATGTACGATGGAAGTTATTTTTGTTTAGCTTCCTCCTGTTCAGGTGTTCATGTCTGTATGTTTCTTAGCACATCACTGCAATATGATGTGATGCAGATTACAGAGTTTAGAAAGGAGCCCTAAGAGGTGATGGAATTGTGCTGAGCCCTTCCATATCCCCCGAGAGTGCTGGGAAATTGTTGACCTAATCCTCCTTTGTGAAGCCCTGAATGACTGAGGGATCATTTCCCTTGTGCTGCCATCTAATTGACATTCCCTATGTTTGGCATTTGCTTATAGTGCCTGTGGTAGAAAGTTCAGAATCTTAACTTCAAATAACTGAATACTGAATCAGGCACTGAGACTTGTTTACTGATGGCTGCAGTAACCCCCTACTTCAGGAGAGAATGACAGCAAAATTTCAATAACATTTCTTCCTTATTTAATATTAACTCATTACTTGCTAATTTAATGAACCTGTGGATCAGATATTCTTCTTTTCAAAATTTGTTAATTTGCAAATAGAAATGGTATATATATGGTATATGACATGTTTTGAAATATGTATACATTGTGGAGTAACTAAATTGAGCTAATTAATATATACATTGCCTTATATTTATCATTTATATGTGGTGAGAATGCATAAACTCTGCTTTTTTAGAAACTTTAAAGTATACCATACATGGTTATTAACTATAGACAGTATGTTGAACAGTAAATCATCTTGAATTTACTCCTCAAATCTAACTGAAATTTTGTCTCCTTTCATCAACATCTCCCTAATCCTCCCCCATCCTTAACCCCCTCCGCCCCCAGCCCCTAATAACTGCCATTCTACTGCCTGTTCCTGTGAGTTTGACTTTTTTAGATTTCTCACATAAATGCGGTCATGCTATATCTGTCTTTCTGTGCTTGGCTTATTTCATGTAACATAATGTTCTCCAAGTTCTTCCATATTGTAGCAAATGAAAGGATTATTATTTTCCTTTTTAAAGGCTATAGTATTCCATTTTGTATATAAACAACATTTTCTTTATCGATTTGTCCATTGATGGACACACATGTTGATTCCATGTCTTGGCTTTTGTAAATAACGCTGCAATCAACATGAGAGTGTAGATATCTCTTCAACATACGAACTTCATTTCCTTTAAATATATACCCAGTAGTGGGATTTCTGGGTCATATGGTAGTTCTATTTTTTATTTTTTTGAGGAGCCTCTACACTATTTTCCACAAACTAGCTTACATTTCCACCAATAGTATGCAAGGGTCTTCTTTTTCTGTATCCTCACCAATACTTGTAATCTTTTGTCTTTTTTGGCAATAACCATTCTAACAGTTGTGAAATGATATCTCATCATGGTTTTAGTTGGCATTTCCCTGATGATTAGTGATGTTGGAGCATTTTTTCATGTATTGATTGGCCCTTTTGTATGTCTTTTTTTCTTTTTTTTTATGAGACGGAGTCTTGCTCTTTCATTCTGGCTGGAGTGCAGTGGCACCGTCTCAGCACACTGCAACCTCCACCTCCTGGTTCAAGTGATTCTCGTGCCTCAGTCTCCTGAGTAGCTGGGATAACAGGCATATGCCACCGTGTCCAGCTAATTTTTGTATTTTTAGTAGAGACAAGTTTTCACCATGTTAGCCAGGCTGGTCTCAAACTCCTGACTTCAGGTGATCCGACCATCTCACCCTCCCAAAGTGCTGGGATCACAGGTGTGAGCCACCATGCCTGGCATTGTATGTCTTCTTTTGAGAAATACCTTTTCGGATTTTTTGCTGATTTTTAAATCAGGCTGTTTGTTTTCTTGCCATTGAATTCCTTAAACAATTTGTATATTAACCCCTTATTAGATATATGAAAATATCCTTCTTTTCAATGAATGATAATGCACTTTTAAAAATAACTGAGGTGGTGTACTGGATTATATATTAAGTTATTACAAGTGGCAGAAAATTATTAGATAAGTAGTATGGTGTACAAATTCAAGCCCCACCTATCCAGTGGAGTAATTAGTTTAGGAGAGAAAATGAGTCAATTTCACAAAGAAACAAAAAAGTGGAAAAGTACCCCTGTCTCTTAGAAGAAAAGGAGAGAAGGAGGCCCTTATCTCCCTTGCAACAAAATGCCCTACAGAGACCTCTCTTTGTTTTTCTTTGTTCTTATGTGAAAAAGATTCTCAGCTGCCTCAGGGGAACTGAAATTGATGGGGGATAATTTAAGACACAGATTCTCAAAGAGGGCGGGAACAGAAGTGATTGTATAAGCAGAAGTTATGTTAACAGCCAAGCTGTGACAGTTAACCCTACCTTTCCACAAACTGTAGACCAGCCTGGTGAGGACTTTGACAGTGAAATAATATTCATGGTAACAGAAGATGCTTTCAAGTTTTGAATTCTTCCTGTGTGCTAGGTATTGTTCTAAGCACATTATATGTATTATCTCATTCTATCTCTGTGTAAGTCTTATGATCTTAAATACCTCAAACTAAGAAAAGATTGGAGATGGAAAATAGAGGAGTAAATGGAGGACAGAAAATGTATTGTGATCATGATCTGCAGTTAAAATACAGGTTAGACTAAGGTGTGATTAACAGTAGTAAAGATTAAAAATGTTCCAAACTATACTTTAGATTTTTAAAAAGCATCTGTAGAAGAATTATCTGCTCTTTTGGTGATATTAGTAAACTTAAAAAACTTTTTTTGCCCCACATTTATGATTTATACCTAATTGCTAAAGCCATGGCTACCATGGCTCACTATTGCCATCAGGGTGGTGCATCCAGTTTATAGACTTAGCTATAGTTTTAAACTATTCCAGCAGTCACCGATGGACAACCTTCAACAGGAAACCAGCAACTCTCTTCTGTGATCTGACCCAGAGAACTGTTTCATTTGGCAAACACAGCATTTTAAAGATTGAACTAGGAATACGTTTTTTAAAATATGGAAATTTTTATATAAAACCTGGATTTCTAGCTGCTTCTTTAAAAATTGGAGAAGCTGGCAACAAAGGACTTAATTTCTTGTATGACTTCAACTGTCGAGTCCAACTGGCAGACTCAGTTGAGCGACAGATCAAAAACGCACACTGACACAGGCTTGCCAGTCAGTGCAGCCAGGAGATCTCTGCCAGAGTCAGCAGTGGCCATGATAAGCTGCCGATGTTCGCGTTTATTTAGTACAGATTAAGTGACAAAGGTCTCAAGTAAAACGCCATTAGAGGGTAATTAACATTGCCGACACCACCCCCCGCCAACATACACACAGTAGAGAGCAGTTGTGCGGATGATCAAAGGTTGGTCTTAGGACCACATGAGTAAACAAACTATTTAGATAAACTCCACAACATTCCCTTGTTATTTGCTTTTTGCTGTTAGCTCAAGGTAAGAGGATCAGGCTGCCATCAGCCATAACTTCTTCCAAGGCTTTTGCAAAACCTTCTGGGCTTCCAAGAAGGTTTACATTTTCTGTAATTTCTTGCACCCTTCTGACAAATCTCTTACATTCAGCCTGCTGGGGCTAAGTAGCAGGTATTCACTTCCACCATGATGCATGCCCTCTCATTTGCCAGAGTGCTCTCTGGGCCATTTTACCTGCCTGGGCCCTCTATGCTTTAATTGCCTCTGTTCTCTGGGTGATATTGAAGATAAAATGAGACAGCTTGTTTGTCATCAACACAGTCAGTCAAGATAGATGTAGTTCGTAAAACGAACTGACAAAAACCCAGCCCACCTGTTTTGTTCCACTAAGTAGCAGTCTCATCTACTGTCACAGAACTAGTGGAAGATAGTGAGTGGGAAAACTGCTGTGTTGGTGCTTTACATGTAATTTCCATCGGCAGCTATCATTGTCAGTTAGATATTTTTTCTCCACACACAGGTTATGGAGAAGTCAGATATGTTTCCAGACTTCTTCAGCATGCCTTTCTAGAAAAAGAAGGGTTTCATGCTTTAAAAATACACAAGAAAAGTGATTCATTCTGTCACTGTATACAAGAATTGATGTGTATCACATTTAGTTTTTTTTGAAATGTTTTCATAGAATTTAAAGAAAACAGTATGATTCAATAAGCAGAGAACCTAAATTGAACATTCTATTTTGCTTTTAACCATACATTTGAAGGAAAGTCACTTATTGTTCAGTTCTCCCACCAACAACGTGCCCTACCACCTGAAGTGTTTTGATTGGGCAGTTCGTTATTTTACCTTGTAGTCCCATGGTTACTAAGTTGGGGAGCTTAGGGGTTTTTATTTCATGTGTGCTCTGCAGCCAGCATTTGTTGAGTAATGCAGTATGGAAAGGGCAAAAATGTGTAGCAGGGTGCATTTGCACCACTGCACTCCAGCCTGGGCAACAGAGTGAGACTGTCTCAAAAAACGAAAAAGAGTCCAATGTCCCAAAGGTGTCCTTAACCAAAAAAAAAAAAAAAAAAAGCACAAAGACCACTCTAAACTCAAGTTGCCTAATTATAAAGCAACTTGCAAAGGGAAAAAGAAATGAGAAATAACATGATAACATGTGCTTGAGTATGTGCCATGTACCTGGTACTACAGGGTGCATATTGAACCACCCAGGAAGGGTGGTCTCATCACTATCAGTA